AGTTACTTGTGAATATTTTATCGAATTCTTTTGTGAAATCTATGAACCAACGGTAAATATCTTTCTGTTTTTCAATGGCTTGTTCAGAAAGCATTTTCAGGATGAATATTGTATTTGTAGTTTCAGTGTCTTCTACAAATCCACATTGTTCTTTGCCAATTTCTTCGAGTGGCTAACATAATGGTACGTGTTATACTTTTTTTTATTATGTAACCCATACGACTTACGGTGCGTTGTAATTCGTATTCACTTTCGCCAGGTTTCTTTGCTAGTGTTATGAACATTTACCTGCTTAAATCTCCTGGAATTTCGCCATTATTATTCACATTTCATTTATCTTTTCGGATAAGATTTTCGATGCTTAACTTGTCTAATGCCTGAATAATTTTAATTGCAATTCCATTTGGTCCTGTTGCTTTGTTTCCTTTTATTTTCCCGACTGCAACTCTCACCTCTGATTATAACATCTTTGGCCCATCTGTGTTTTCCTGGTTGTTGGTTTTCACCTCTGGTGTTTTGAAGAAGCTCATCAATATATTCTGAGCATCTTTTCGTGACTCTTTTCCTTTTCTATGGTGAGAGTTTCATCGTTTGATCTTATGTCCTCACTTGATGTGCATCTATTGAGGACTACAAGATGTCGTATGTTCTTGTGAATCAATGCTGAGTTTGTAGATTTTGATGTTTATATTTCTATGCACTCATCATTTAATCTTTTTTTTTCTTTTGCCTCCTTACATTTGTTCTTGATTTGCTTATCTAATTGTTTATAGCTGTCACTGTCTCTTTGCATTATTTTTTTACTTTCGCTCATTAGTTGCAGAATCTATAGAGTCATCCACTTGTTTTTTGCTCTGTTTTCTCTTTGTGGGATGACTTCTTGAATCATCTCAATAAATGACACTTTTAGATTTTTCCCATTTTCTATTGTCCTTATGTTCGAGTACTTCGAACCTATTCTTCCCAGCTATTTCATATTTGTTTTTGATGTCTGGTTTCACACGCAAGCTGTTCAATTGTAACTCTGGTTCTTTTCTTTTAGGTATTTGTTATTTTTCTTGATTTTACCATAAGTTTGCATATGGGTGAGATATGATCACTTCCACAAACTGCTTCAAGATAACTTTTTCATTTTTGAAATTCATTTCAAGATCACTTGTTTAAAGTGATATTGTCAGTTTAGTTATGGAAGATATACTTTTGGCTTTTCCAAGCCTAAAGACGTCTTGGATGTTCTTTAAACCAAATGTTCGTAATTATCTGATTAATGACTCTGCACCAGTCTACTTATATTTCTCCTCTATTATTCTGTGTTCTTAATCAATGACTTCTCACTACTTCTCCTTCTGTTTGATTTCCAACCATGGCAATCTGATCTCCCATTATAATGATGATCTCTCGAGCCTTGCATTGAACTTTTGCTTTTTCTAGAATATCATAAAATTCGTCAATTTTCTCTTCACTGCTTTGGGATATTGGATCATACACTTGAATGATGGAAATGTCAAAAGGTTGCTTTCTCCGTTTCACAAATATAACTCCAGTACCTAAGATGCTTCTTTGAATGATACTTATATATGATTATTTCAACTCCTCTTTCGTTTTTTTTTCTCCCTAGTAAATAATTTTGAAATCACCTTCTCAAAAATATCCTGTATCATTTAATCTTGTTTTGCACATTTCAAGGATGTTAATCTCCAGTCTAGTCATTTCATGTTTTACATTTCCTAGCTTTTTACCCTGGTAAAGTGTTCTAACATTCCATGCGGTAATCTTGATGTTGTTTTTGTTGTGGACAACAGTTTTGTGACAGATAGTATTTGACGCACATAAGTAACATGACCGAGCGACGGACAATATAATCAGAAAAGATCCCCCTTTGCGTCATTTTCTTTATTACATAATCTGTACATGACCATGATGTTTCTTGATAAGATATTACAGTGGTTTCTATTGTTTATTTGGGACACCATATCTTTATCTGATGGTCGGTTATGCTTCGCTTGAACGTCAACCTTCGACAGGTGTTTCGATAGTCTTGTCTAGGTGTAACAGTCATCCCCTCACCAATTACATGCCGGTTAATAGTGGGAGGGGGAGTTTATTTAGTCGCTTTTTACGACATGCAGAACATACAATAGGCCTGAATTCTTGTGTAGCCGAACCCACAGTTGAGAATATTGGGAACAAATAGCAAATAAAAAAATGCCCAAGACAACATTTTCATGGATTAGATGCCACTAAAGTACGTTATTCACCAAGAAAAAGCATCCAAGCAGCATGTCCAAATAAATATTCTAGTTCCTTCGCAAGATGCAAGAACGAACGGGATTTAAGCTATGTATATATATATATATATATGAATATATAATTAACAGAGGTCTCCCATGGACTCCTTAGCCTATGTTTTTCTGTTATATATTGAGTATAAACCTGTATTTATTGGTTACTTTTAATCTTTCGAAAGTTAATTTATTTAATGGACAAACTTTATGAGTAGCTTCTTATATAAAAGTACAGCTTATATATTTTTAAACATCACAGAACCTTTCGCATGACACGCAAAGCGAAAGAATGAATAAACATTGAACATAACTATTTAGTATTAGATGTTTTTAATACAGAAGCTGAGTACGTAATATTCAAACGACTTTGGAGCCACACTACGTCGTTACAGTCCCTATCGCCATATGCAGTCATGCTCTATCTGACGAGTGTGCATGTTGAAAATAACCTTGTAGCGTAGTCGCAGCTACAAAAGAATCCCCCTTTCATAATCCATCTTATGCACGAGGACGTCGGTTTCCCAGCACCGGCTTCAACAGTTCGATTGCATAGAAACCTACAGGCGTTGCATTCAGCAACTTAACTGGTATCTCTTCATATAGAATAGCAGGATTTGTTATTATTTTGTATTTTCAAAGTTGTTTTAACAGCACGTTTTAGACAGTCCACTCAACCAAACATTACTCATGCAATTTCATCAACAAATTATTAAACTAATCAGATGCAAATGATAAAAAATGTTTTAGCTTTAAGGTAACACGCTGCATAATTTAACGGTTTCTAACGTCTGCAATTTGATACGAGTAAAATATAAGAGACAGACCAATATAAGAAACAAGCCAATAATAATAATAAAAAAAAACGCTTGCGAACATTATTCATGGTAAACCTTTTTTACCCAATGTCCCCCCCTCCCAGTCGCTCAGCGGCAAGTCTCTTATAACGCTAAAATTCGGACTTCGATACCTTCTGTGAGAAGAGTAGATATAACCTATTGGTTAGCCTTGTGGTTAACGACAAAACTTACCCACACATGTATAACTTTCATCTTATATTTTAGTATTCTTGGTTGTTTTTATTATATTTTGTATTTATTATATGTGTGCATGACAGAAGTTTTCAATGGAGTACAACAGTACAACAAAGCAAGATTGGCATTCGGCGCCATCTCTTTGTTCATTTTTCACTTGAAAGTATATTGTTTTTAACGCCAATAATTGTGCAAAACAAATGAGAATAGAAATAATAACTTTTACAGCCTATATGAAAACAATACTCACACCAATAGCCTTACATATTATTCCTTCGTCTAAAGGAACAATACAAGTTTTAGTGTCAAGGAGTGATTAATAATCCAGTTTTAGGATTTCCTACGAGTGAGATTGAACCTGAAACTTCTCACACACCAAGTGAAAGCCATACCAACTGCACTAAATGTTAAGTGCATCTTATTTGTCGGTTTTCAACAATTAAAACTATCGCAAGCTTTAAGTAGCTCGTTAATAAGTTAATGTTTTTGATAAAACATTATACAAAGAGTAAAGCATTTGATCTGATTTATTAAACACTTTCAAACACATTACATACTTAATAACATACAGTTACTGTATAACCTCTTTTAAGGTTATGGCTGATAATTTGTGTTGTAAAACCTCGCATTAACCTTTGAAAGCATACAAGTTAAAAATATATTATACATGTTATATTTGTTAAAAGGATAAATGAGGAACATAACATACGTTAAAGGCCTTTCTGTAAAAACAAAAGTTGCGTTCTACGTAAAGATAAACACTGTGTTATTTCACAACAACAACAACAAACTCGTGTGAACTATAACATAACTGATTATGGTAGAGATTTAAACACATGTTTTTTTTTGTTCTTTTTTGCGTTTTCGAATAACACAAATTACTTGCGATTTTAAGTTCAAATTATTGTTTATTCAAATACACTGTTGTAAGTCACATTCTGATGACGAGTTCCAGAATTAATTTTCAGAATATTGTTTTTACGAAATATTATATGTGACGTGAAACTATTTTATTTACCAATACTCTTATGTCAGCCAATTCTACGTCAGCCAATATTTTTGTGTTCTGTTTTGTTAACCCACAATGACTAAGCTGTATTTATTTTGAAGGTATGGAAACACCGGACTTGTATTTCACAAAACAAAAGTTGTGTTGTTTTTAAAAACAAGCTTGTATTTTTTTATAGTGTAGAATGTATTTGTTTCGTCATATGAAAGTTGATAATATAACATTCTCTTGAATATTTCTACAGTCACAATAATACATGTAATGACTCATAAATTTAAATATGGACTATTCCTTTACCCTGATTGAAGAAAACACAATATTTCTTGATATACGGATCTGGTATTGAACTAATTAAAACTATGCAATAAGTGAGGTGATCAATTTTATGAACACTGGTGCTGGTAAAACAGATTAGTAAAAGCAGTACAAAAAGTGAATAGAAGTGGATTTCTTGAATTATAGAATTGTTTGAGGTATCTCTTGTTGGTGATCGTAGTAAAAAAGTGATCAAGTTGAGAAGCCTTATCAGATATGAAATTTCAAGAAAACCA